GATGTTAGCCCAGGGCCAGTCTTCCTCAGCAAAAAGAGAGGAGGATTAGCAGATGTTAGCACAGGGCTGATCTCTTCACAAAAAAAAAAAAAAAGGAGAAATGAGTAGGAGGTGGCCTTGAAGATAATAAGAGTCTGCCTTCCAAGTAGATGGAAACAAAGATATGGAAAGAAACAGAGATACAACCGTGTGGCATGTGAACTACAAGTAGTTATTCATTCTGTGAATATTTTATTGAGTATAAAGTCAGTGCCAAGCAATATGCTAGTCACTAGATATACAGTGGTAAACGTAATAGACATGGTCCCTACCTCAGGGAACTTATAGTTTAGTGAGGGACGGGGGGTAACAAGGGATAGCTTAACAAAGATTGCAAATTGTGTGAGTTCCCTGTGCCAGTCACTTTTGTAGATACTGGGTACTTCACAGTGAACAAGACGAACAAGATCCTTATTCTCGTGGAGTTTACCTTCTAGTGGAGGAGATAATGAATAAAAAGTGAACAGATGAGATTTTTAGGTATTTGCTATAAAGAAAAAATAGGATAGAGAATGATTGGTGGGTTGCTGCTTTTGACTGGATGGTAGCGGAAGGCGTCTCTGAGAAGCTGACATTCAAACTGAGATTTGAATGAGTAGGAAGATTGTGTTCCAACGAGTATAAAGATTTTGTGGCAGGAGTGAATTTAGCATGATTGGACTGTCGTGACTGGAGCCCAGTAAATTGAGAGGAGTATGAGATGGGATTCAGAGGTAGGCAGGGACCAGATCATATTCTCCATACAACAAACCTTAAGGAATTAAAATAAAAAAGAATCCACCAATCATTTCTTTGAAAAGACCAATAAGATAATATAAACACTTGCATGCCTAATCAAAGTAAAACGAGTGGAAATACACAAGGTTACTAATGAGAACAGAGTTGTAACTGTAGATATGGAAGAAATTAAAATAATTATAAGGGGATGGTACATGCAGCTTTGTGGCAGCAACTTTGAAAATGTAGGGGGAAATGGCTCATTTCTTATCAGAATACGAATCTCCAAAACTGAACCTGGGAAGAATTCAAAAACTGAAGAGAATCAACATGTGATAAAAAAATATTCCATTTAAAAAAGAAAACACTTCGTTATACGTAAACAATGTAAAATATACAGATATAAAAATATGATAAAGTTCTTGAGGCACTACTTCCTAATGATCTCCACATTTATTCCTAAATGAAAAAAATAAAAGGCAAAGTGCATAGAGCGGTATTTATAGTACTATGCTTCCATTTGTGTGTAAAAGGGATTGTGTATATCTGTGTATGAGGAGATAAATAAGCGTGTGTGTGCATGTGTATATATACATACATACCCTACATTCACGTTTATGTTTGGATTTGCTTTTATGTATGTGTGTATGCATAAAAATATCTTGAAGGATGTACAAGATACTGGTAAGAGTGATTGCCTTTGCCTTTGGGTAGGGGAACTAGATGGCTAAGGGAAAGGGGTAGGAAGTGGTTTTTACTCTACCCGTTAATACCTTATGAATTTTTAATCATGTGAATATATTACTTCTTCAAAAACTAAATGAATAAAAAAAAATTTTAACTACCAGGTCCAGATGGTTTTATAGTTTTTGTTTAAGAAACTATTTCAGACCATAGAAAAGGTTAGATAGTCTCTCCTACATTATTTTATTTATGAAGTTACTATAATCTCAGTACCAAAACAAGATGTATTACAAAGAATAAAAACTAGAGACCAATCTCACAAATGGAGATAGAAAATATTTCAAAAGAATCTTTATAGATTTAATGTAGCTTATATTAAAAGATTATCATAATATCAAATAGGAGGATGCTAGAAATGCAAGAATGTTTCATTATCAAGAATTATATGGATATAATTCTTTACAAAAACAAAGTGGAAAAACATCACATAGTAATATTGACAGATGCCCATGAGGAAGAGGAAAGCTGAAACAGAACAGTGGTCTATGTCAAATAACCAGAGAGAACCAGTTTAGTGCTACTTAAATCAATAGTCTGTGTATTTCAGATAATGGTCAGCTAATGATGCCCTGCAGTGTGCAGACTGGGAGGAAAAGAGAAGCATTTACCGTAGGGTTGTGGGGGCCTGAACCATGATCCAATCAAGTACACAATACAGTTTCAAAAAATAGGTGTCGAAAATAACTAGCACTTGAGAAGAGTTGAACTTTTAATTCTTTATATATAAAAATATTCACAAGTATCCTGTAAGATATCTGAGGTATGTTAATATATTAAATTTTAAGATTAGTTTCTTTTTAAAAAACTGTCGTAAATGTCCAGTCAGAGTTCAGAATAAAGATCAGTAAAGGTAATTTTGGACAGTTTTACTGTATCTTGTATGCTTTAATGAAAAGGCTTTGTTGATTGCCTTAACCTAATTTAACCTACCCCCTGAACTCCGAGAGTGACAATGTAACCAACTACATCTGTGTGGTGCCTTTTAAGGAGCTGGGCCTTGGACTTAGTGAAGAGCAGATTTCAGAAGAGGAAGCACATAACCTTACAGATGGCTTCAGCCTGCCTGCATTGAAGGTAATCCACTTGTGGAAGGGAGGGGCTGAGGTAGAAGAAAGATGTACTTGGATTGTGCCTGTGCTTTCTGAATGTAAATAGCGCACCTGTTCTCGTTTATTGTTTGCTGAATACCATCACCATAACAGCCTTACTGATGTTTGTGAAGCTGCCTTGAAAATCTGAGAGCATCATAAAGACTGGATGAAGGGATCCTTATATTTTGATATCAAAATACTTAAAGTTTTTACTATAAGCATTTCTTGCCTTGGAGTTTAGAGATAAGTGAATTTACTTTAATAGTAAACTAATATGAGTGATTTTATGACTAGCCATTTGTTTCAACAAACATGGGTCAAGAACTTAGAAAATCTATATTTTCCCTTGGAAAATCTCCAAAATTCTTGTTTAGAACAAGAATTTTTTTGATATTTAAAAGCCACATAAAAGGATATATTTGACTATATAAGAATTAAACTTCTAAACTTCAAATGCTGCATATTTTAAATGCAAACAAGCTCAGGAAAAAATTGCAATGATTTATAATAAAGGGCTTGAATTCTTTCTATATAAAGAACACTAAGGTATATAAAGAACACTTCACAAAAGAATATAAATAGCCACTGACTGTGACAAGACTTTCAATCTTATTAGTAATGGAAAAAACACACATAAAAATAATAAGTAAACATTTTGCCAAGTATATTGAAAGTTGATAATATTCATTATCAATGAAGATTCAAGGAGACCTTACACACTAGTGGTGAAAGTATAAACTGGTTCATTTTAGCAGTGAATACCATCTTCACAGAGGTGTGTGCCCTTACTCCAGCAATTTTAAGCTTACAGATTTATCTGAGGAAGTAATCAAAGATATACTCAAAGTATGTTCATGATATTACTACAACAGCAAATATTAGAAACAAATTAAAAGTTTAGTAATATGAGATTGGCAGTGATTTATGGTACATTCATTGGAGTTAGTAGAAGAAAAATAATAACATATTTAAAAACATAAGTTAAAGCAAGTTACAAAAACTGTGACGTAAGATTCCAGTAGTAGTTTTAAGAAGTCAATCCAAATGTCTATAAATTCCTTTCCAATATTTAGCAAACTCCACTTAGATATTTCTTTGTTTCTAGTCTTTAAAGCTTCACTTGATACCTTGAAAATCAGTGCAAGCGTAGTTGACAGCATATTTATCAAGATCCATTTTGTTTTGAGACCACTGTATATCAACTTCTACATCTTTTAAATTTTCAGATTCACATAAATGTTCATGTTCTCCTGTGTGTTTTTTTCTTGCTTGTTACTTGAAATTTGCCTTATTCTTACCATCGTTCTAACCCATTTCAATAAATGGCACCATATAATTGACTAAGCTAGAAAACTGGGCACCATCCTACTTATCCTTCTTTTTACCCCTCACATCCAGTCTGTCAGCAGATTCTTGTGTTGGTTCAACCTTGAAAGTGTTTAAACCCATCCACTTGTTTCCATATCCCTTCCCACCATCCTTGTCCTAGCTGCCATCATCTCTTACCTAGGCTGCTGCAATAGTTTTCTAGCTGGTTTCCTTAGTTCCCTAAAGTTGTTTGTTTCAGAATGCAATGTGACATATAAAGAGTCTTAAAAATGAAATGCTTTGCATCAGTAATTCCACTTCTGCAAATCTTTCTTAAGGAAATGATTCCAAATAGAGGAAAGCTTTATGTACAAAGTTGCTTATTAGCTGTGTTTATAATAGTGAAAAATGGAACACAGCCTAAATGTGCAGCAGTGGAGGGAATTACGGCAGATCCGCATGTTGAACCATTGTGTAGCAGCTACAACTTGCATATGAAGATTTTGTAAAAACTTGGAGAAATGTCTATTAAAAGCAGTGAAACAATCAGGATATATAAATGTACACAGTATGACCATAACCGTTTTTAAAAAAAGACTAGGAGAAAATTCCAAGATACTAATAGCTACTCTTTGGGGTGGTGGCACTATAGGTAATTCCATTCACTTCCAAATTCAGTACCATGACCATGCTTTACTCTATAATGGAAAGAAAGCTTTTTTCAAAGGACAATTTGAGAGATTCTTAATGAAGAAAATGCAAGGACTTTGGAATTGAGCAGACCTGACCCTGACTAGCCATTTGACCTTGAATAAGTTATTCTTTGAACTTATCTCACCTATAAAAAGAGAGTAACCATACCTCCCCTACAAGGTGATAGATTAAATGAGAACATATACAAAATACCTGCGACAGGACTTGTTGTATAATAAGTACTCAAAAATGGTAATGGCTATTATTCTTTAAGAAGGATCTGGAGAAAGAATTATGGTTATATATATATTTCTTCATTTCCTTTTTAAATTATTTTTTGTTTACTCATCAAGATATCTCAGTGATTTCCCTATTTCTTTATGCTTTTTATATGTTTTTAAAAGCTTGTTAAATCCTGAATTGTATTTTGGCTTAAGTATAGGCAGCAAAGAGAAAAGGTGTACCCCCTGGAGTCAGACTTTCCAAGTTTGACTGTAACTCCATCACTTGACTGCTGATGTGGTCTCCAGCAAATCATTGTTTCTGTGTTTATAAAAATAGAATAATCATAATGCTTACCTCCAAAGGATTAAATATTTGCCCGTGCAATGCCTGGGATAGAGTAAGTGATTAATAAATGTTAGCTTTTTTAAAATTGCATCTGATGTGACCTGTTCTAAAATGTGAGGCTTGTTCTTTGTTGTTGTCTCCTATTCCACTGCCAGTGGTGCTGGCTGTAGCTCGATCCTTTTTGCTCACCCATGTTGTTTTACAAATCAGACTCACTTTAGTATTTTGATTTTTGCTTTATTTTGACATATAACTAATCTATAACCAAACTCAGTGATTGTGTTGCATTGTTACCAGCAATATCAGCTTCTGAAAGAAGCCTTGTCTTGAGATCTATGGAGGTTATAAACTGCTGAAAACCCCTGTAATGTTCAAAAACCCATGTTTTGCCACCTTGTACAGTTGCCATTGTACCCAGAAAAAGAATTTAAAAATGAATTTTGTAAGTTAAATTTTACAAGAAAATTCTCTCTCAAAAGAGCAACACTAATTAAATCTTTTAAAAAAATGTAGTGAAAGATGGTTTACAAATAAATCAGGGCCTTTTGTTTTCCTTTCTTTTTTTGTTCTTTTTTTTGTGAGGAAGATCAGCCCTGAGCTATCTATGCCAATCCTCCTCTTTCTGCTGAGGAACACCGGCTCTGAGCTAAATCTGTGCCCATCTTCCTCCACTTTATGTGAGATGCCGCCTCAGCATGGCCTGACAAGCAGTGCGTCGGTGCGCGCCTGGGATCTGAACCCGGGCCACCGGCAGCGGACTGCACGCACTTAACCGCTAAGCCACCAGGCCTGCCCTGTTTTCCTTTTTAATCTTCATTGTGTCCTATAAAGAAAATACATTTTGGATTTATTTTTTATTGTTCACATATCGTTCCTCAAGAAAACTTAACATAGCAAATGCTGCATCTTTGGAAAGGAAAGCAACCTCTTCATTGTATCCAGAGGAGACATATATAAGATACTTACTACCGAGTCCTTATCCCTCTTTTTTTCTTTGTTTAAATTTTTACTAGTTTTTTTATTACCGTAAAGTAGTATATTTTCTGCTTTAGAAAAATAAGTCCACATTTTGTGAAAATACTTTAAATCAAAATTTCCTATTTGCCCATAAACTATGGTTTTCCCCTCATCCAGAGCAGCTCCCCTATCCAAAGAACGAACAGAAAAAAATGTATATTTCAGAGTTTTGGTTTAATTGGATAATATGGTAGTGATTAGATAATAAGTTAGTCTTTTTTAAAGTGGCAATAAGCTATGCCAACTTAATTCTTTTGGGCTGCAGCCCAAAACTCTGGAATCGTTCTTGATAACACTTTTCTCTCATAAACAGTTTGTCAAGAGATTCTGTCAGTTCTACTTTCACAATATATCCAGAGTGTGACCACTGCTCACCTCTTATCCCTAACCACTGTGGTATAAGCTACCATTAAACCTCCACCTGGATTATTGCAGTAACTAGTCTCTCCATTTCTACTCTCATCTCCCTATCATTTCTCAACACAGCAACCAGAATGAGCCTGTTACAGTATAATTCAGATCATAGAACTCTTCTGCTCAGAACCCTTCAGTGGCTCCCCATTTCTCTTAGAGTAAAAGCCAGAGTTACTTCAGTGACTTCATTGCTTACCACACTCTCCCTTGCTTACTGTACTCCAGCCACGCTGACCTTCTTCTGGTTGTTCCTCAGATGTGCCAAGTATGCTCCTGCTACAGGACTTTACTTTGCACTTGAACCTCCGCTCCCTGGAACTCTCTTTCCTGATGAGTCTCATGGCTCAGTTCCTTCAGATGACACTTTTTTAGAAACCTTCCTGGCCACCCCATCCCTCTCTCCCTCCGCCTCTCTCTCCTTCCCCTTCCCCCCTTACATACACACATAAACACACATTTGCTATTGCCCTTCTATGCTGTATTTTTCCCATAGCCCATCAGCCAAGAAACTATCTTTTACTTGTTATTATCTGTTTCCCTCATGCTTGAATGTAAGTTCCATCCAGGCAGGGATTTTTTTCACTTTTGTTCACTGCTGTATTGTCAACACCTAGAACAGTGCCTGGCACATAATAGGTGCTCAAGAAATAGTTGATAGATGAACAAATAAAGGAATAAAGAAAATCATCGTAGTCACAAAATTTAATGGTTAAATAAGACTTTTGAGGTAAGCTTGTTTATATTCAAGAATTCTAAATTTGGCCTTGCTCATTTTTAAAAAATAAGTTAATGGTAAAATAGGTTTACATTAAATTATCTTAATTCATTATTTGCATAATTTTAAAATTCGTTTAATAAAAGAGTCTGAATAATGTCCATTTTCATGGTTGTGAAAAATTAGAATCTAAATTGGTTCAATCCTCTTTTTGTTGTCTGCTAACTCTTGTTCGTACTAGATTGTCTCCTCGTGTGTTTGTTTGTTTGGGGGATGTTGTCCTGCTCTTGAACAGGACCATGTCTGAAGAAATTCTTTGCTGCCTGGATTCAGGGTGTGTTTCTCAAGAATGGATTTTGTAGTTTCTCATGCCAGACATTCCTAGGTATGATCACTCTGGGATTCATTTTTATGTTATTTCTTAGCAATTTCCTAGGCCAAAATAATGGTGTAGTTTTGAACCCCAAACTCTGGATCCATCAGTGACTCATTTCTTTGGACTTATATAGGTCCATCATTTCTACTGTCTTCTTTTCTCCTTTGTGTAAAATTTTTTAATAATTCATCAGGGAACATCCACTTCTAATAGATATGTCTCATTCCATCAACACTTCTCTTCTAGGGTAGAACTGTACTAAGTTATATACTGGTGTTACCTGCTATATTGGAATCAGAAGTTCCCACATGCCATGACCACACAATTTGATATAATATTCCTGGCTAATCTTAGAGTTAGGTCAAGCTTAGCTATTTTCCTTACTTAGAATAAAGTGAGGGGCCGGCCCGGTGGCGCAAGCGGTTAAGTGCGCGCGCTCCGCTGCGGCGGCCCGGGGTTCGCTGGTTCGGATCCCGGGCGCGCACCGACGCACTGCTTGGCAAGCCATGCTGTGGTGGCGTCCCATATAAAGTGGAGGAAGATGGGCACAGATGTTAGCCCAGGGCCGTCATCCTCAGCAAAAAAAGAGGAGGATTGGCAGATGTTAGCACAGGGCTGACCTCCTCACAAAAAAAAAAAAAAAAAAGAATAAAGTGAAAAATTTAAACCAGAAGTTAAGATAAGCAAATCTGTAGTTTGTTTTGAATGCTGGCCAGTATTTTTAATTGATCTAGACCTGTTTTGTTTTGTTTTGTTTTTAAGATTTTGTTCCAACTCTGGGTGGCACAGAGTTCAGAATTCTTCAGACGGTTAGCCCTATTACTTTCTACAGCTAATTCACCTCCTGGGCCCTTACTTACTCCAGCACTTTTGCCTCATCGTATTCTATCTGATGTGACTCAAGGTCTACCTCATGCTCATTCTGCCTGCTTGGAAGAGCTTAAGCGCAGCTATGAGTTCTATCGGTACTTTGAAACTCAGCACCAGTCTGTACCCCAGCATTTATCGAAAACTCAACAGAAGTCAAGAGAACTGAGTAATGTTCACACAGCAGTACGCAGCTTGCAGCTCCATCTGAAAGCATTACTGAATGAGTAAGTTTAGAAGCCATTTACGGAAATGTCCCTGTGATTAGCAAGCTTCATTCTTGTGTCATTGTGGTTGTTGGCTTGATTCCTAGCTAGAAGGAAGAAGCAAAATTGAGACATGCAGTATTAAGGATGGTTTATAGCTATAAATGTAGCAGAGAAACAATGATTTGTAAATATTATAATTTTGGGGAGTCACTTGTAGTTTTTACTTTTCATGATTTCAAAAGAAAACCTGGAAAGATAGGACAAAAGCAGATACTGTTCATTCTATTTGGGAGCTGAAATGGAGAAGTTTATGAAGAATGAGTTTGTTTTAACTCTCTTTAAGTAGGGCTCTTAAACTGGAACCTGCAGTCTAAGAGAAATATTTGCCAGCACTGGAACAGTAAATTATAAGAGGTATTGTTAAAAAAAAAAAAAAAAAAGGTATTGTTATATATAGTTGAAGAGTAATATATTGCTGTTTTTCTAAATAAGTTACAGCATATTTAGACATTTTTCTGTAGCACAGGACAGGCTGTTGGGCCCCAGTTGAACAGTAAAATGTAGGGTCCATTGTTGATTTGTTGATCTTCTACTTCGCATAGTATTCTTGGTACTCTGCCTTCGTAAAAGGTAAGGTCCAGTGACCAGTGAAAATTTTCTATAACAGAGACTTGTAGTATACGACTGGATAAAATGAATTGGTTGGATTCATGTTGTGTTGTAATTGGGGGGGAGGGGTCGGAGGAATTTAATGAGTTGATAAGACTGTAGTTGGTGAACTTGACCCTGGATAGCAGGCAAGAAGTAGAAGGGGGAAGGCAGCAATCGATTTTGTAAGATAATACAATGGTTCAAAAGGACTTAAAGTCTCAGTAAAATCTAAAGACTAGTTTACTAGAATGAGGAAGGATGTGATGTACAAGGATAGGAAATTTAGGTCAGAAAGACACTTTGAGAACATAAGTTTTTACTCATCAGTTCAAGTTCTGAGATCGGTGTGTAAGGCTGATATAAAGGTTAGGGCACAGGGAAAAATTAAGGAACTGTGAGGCAGGGACGTTCCAGTGGTCTGTAGTTGCTCCCTGTCTCCCACAGGGAATATGGGAGATAAGGCAATCTCCACTTGAGTGAGTGGCAAAGGCTGGATCATCATCAGAGAAAAACAAGATTTCAGTGGAAAGGTTGTATTAGGCAAAGCCAGAGTCTCTAAAGAATTAATTTTTGACAGTAGAATCAGAAATATACAGGGCAGGGCTGGCCCCATGGCTTAGCGGTTAAGTGCGGGCATTTCGCTACTGGTGGCCCGGGTTCAGATCCCGGGCGCGCACCGATGCACCGCTTCTCCAGCCATGCTGAGGCCGCGTCCCACATACAGCAACTAGAAGGATGTGCAACTATGACATACAACTATCTACTGGGGCTTTAGGGAAAAAAAAGGAGGAGGATTGGCAATAGATGTTAGCTCAGAGCCAGTCTTCCTCAGCAAAAAGAGGAGCATTAGCATGGATGTTAGCTCAGGGCTGATCTTCCTCACAAAAAAAAAAGAAAAAAAAAAAAGAAAAAGAAATATACAGGGCATAATGGAACACATTAGAATGAGAGAAGATGGCTCAGGGAAGCAAGAGTGCTACACTGGATGGACATGAAAATGAAAAAGAGGAGCTTTGAACCTTTGGCAGGGATTGTGGATTATGCATGGAAAGTATGTTTCCTATTTAAAAATGAAATATTCTGTACATGATACTATATGCCACCTTTCAAAATATTTTAACTAGAGAGTATGCCAGTCACAAACCATCATATCTGATTTGCTCTATGGCACTGCTACATATAACAAAGTGTTACCTAAACAGTAGTTTTGTGTTTCACTCCTCCCTCTTGCCTGTCTCTTGCTATTCCCACTCTCACTTGCCTACCCTAGGACATTAACCCTTCAACTGTTCTTCCTCCTCCAGAGTTTTATCCTTTCACTTCATAAAATGCCTAGTATGTATGCAAGAAATATTTGTTGAAAAAATAAATGATACTCTTTATGAGCTTTTTAAAAAATTGTGGTAAAGTACACATAACATAAAATTTACCATTTAACCATTTTTAAGCGTACAGCTTAGTGGCGTTAAGTACATATACATTGTTGTGTAACCATTACCACCCTTCATCTTCAGAACTTTTTTCATCTTATAAGTTTATTTCTTAAGTAAGCCTTGTGAATTATAAATTTTCCATTTTATATTTTAGAAATCTGTTTGTTTTTCTTTATTACTCAGGGTAATAATTCTTGAAGATGAACTTGAAAAGCTTGTTTGTGCTAAAGAAACACATGAACTAGTATCAGAAGCTTATCAAATCCTAGAACAGAAATTAAAGTTGATTCAGCCCCATGTTCAAGCGAGCAACAGTTGCTGGGAAGAAGCCATTTCTCAAGTGGACAAACTGCTACGAAGAAATACAGATAAAAAAGGTACCAATGAGAGATTTCTTTTGCATACACTTATCAGACACGCTTATTCCACTCTGGGAGGATTTTATTAGGTGTATTTCTTATCTCCATGATGCAACTGACTTGACAAAATTTCTTAGTTTACTTAAAAAAAAGCTGAACTTTTTGTTGTACAAATTGACACTGAATATAAAGTCTTGGCTCTTATTTTATAAGTAAAAAATGAATATGATTTAAAAGTTCCCTGAATCATATCCTCCTTTTTAAAAAACTTAAATGAAGGGATAGATTTCAATAGTATTATTTCATTATTAGAATTTCCAAAAACTCTTTTCCAGTTAGGGTAATAATGAGTTTGATAGTCTGGGTCCAGAAATTAAGTTTTCCTTTTAAGATAAAATACTTGCTTTGGTCATTCAGAAATAGTATACAAATGCTCTAATAAGTGACACTGCATATTTGTTATTAAGGGTCTAAAATGTATTACTAAGTGCCATTATTTAATGGTAACATCAGAGTGCCTTATACTGCTAGGTAAAAATGCAGTCTTGAAATTTTCTGCAAAACTGCTTTCATTTGACCCAGATTTTATACTTGTTTTTACTCATTTCACTAATTTATTGTAAATGTTTGGTATATTAATTTTTAAACTTACAATTTAAAATAATACTATGTTTGTACCTTGGACCTTTATGATAGGGTTGATCAGATTTGTGTATAGAAATTCTATTGCTGCCAAAGATGATTAATGCTTTATCATCCTGTTATATCATCATTGTTTTGTTTATAGCTGGATCTGTAATCCTTGGGTTAATATCTTAAATAAGCTGAATAAGTCCTTATAGAAGGTATTAACTTTTTTCGAAGTATTAACTTTGAAAGTATTAACTTTTTTCAAAGAAAATGTTAACATGCTAATTACTAATATATTACCATCCTTTATGTCTCAGATGTAAATGGTGAGTAATTTTTTCTACAAAGGATACATTTGCCAAGGATTTTTATTATGTGTAAATATTTATGCATATTAACTTTTTGATATGACTTAAGTCTAGAGCTTTTTTTTTTTTTTTTTTTTGTGAGGAAGATCAGCCCAGAGCTAACAGCTATGCCAATCCTCCTCTTTTTGCTGAGGAAGACCGGCCCTGGGCTAACATCTATTGGCAATCCTCTGCCTTTTTTTTCCCTTTTTTTTTCCTTCCCGAAGCCCCAGTAGATAGTTGTATGTCATAGTTGCACATCCTTCTAGTTGCTGTATGTGGGACGCGGCCTCAGCATGGCCAGACAAGCGGGTGCGTCAGTGCACGCCCCAGGATCCGAACCCGGGCTGCCAGTAGCGGAGTGCATGCACTTAACCACTAAGTCAGGGGGCTGGCCCCAAGTCTAGAGCTTTTGAGTACATTTTCTATAAATAGAAACACTGAGAAGACCACTGGGTGTTAAAAGATGCATCCTATTCACCCCTTCTTTAACATACTCTGAGATGTTGAATCTTAGTCAGTCACTCAAACGTGATTGTTAAAACTGTCTCCAAATCATTGGGCAGGTGATAAGCCATTTCTTAATTATGTTCTGTATATGTGGCTTTTGCTCATAGGTAATAATGATATGAATTAAGATCAAGTAATTCACACACTTATCTCACTAAAATGCTCATAGTGACCATGGCTACACAACTTTAAATAAAATGTTTGTTTGAATTTTTTAAGAAACAAGTGATTTAGCTAGCAGTATCTTTTGTTTCTAAGTTATTTCAAAATTGCAGGAATATCACAAAACTACTTTAACGTACCGTTCATCCAGATTCCCCATTTGTTCACATCCTACCACGTTTGCGTTATCTCTCTGTGTATCAGTCTATACATTCTTTTGGTGATATTATTCTGAACCATTTGACAGTAAGATGCAGACATGAAATCCCATTACCCCTAAATACTTCTCTTTGCATTTTTGAAAAACATGGACATTCTCCTACATATCCACAGTATACCATCAAAATGAGGAAATTAACACTGATATAATATTGCTATCCAATCCTCAGACATTCTAATTTTACCAATTGATCCAATAATATTTTTATATGTCCAGATCACATGTGGCATTTAGTTTTCTTGTTCTTTCTTCTCCTTTAACTTTTGTCTTTCATGCTAAATATTTTGTGAAAAAATACCTTGAGGTTATATAAATATCCTTTCCTTATCAAAATTTTTCCCACTATTAAGTATACACATACCATATGACCCAGGTGTGTCATTCCTAGGTATTTACCCTAGAGATAAAAACTTAATGTTCACACAAAAACCCATTCACACATGTTTATAGTGGCTTTATACATAATCACTAAAACTAGAAGCAGCCCAAATAACCTTCAGCTGGTGAATCGATAAACTGTTACGTCCATCCATGCAATGGAATACTGCTCAGTGATAAAAAAAGAAATGAACTACTGATACATCAGTAAAATGGGGGAATCTGTAATCTACTCTGGTGGAATCTAATCCAGTCTAATCTGGAGGATCTAATGCTGATCAAAAGAAGCCAGACTCAAATCACTACATACTATATGATTTCATTTATATGACATTCTTAAACTGGTAATATTTAATAGGAACAGAAAACATTTCAGTGGGTACAAGGAGTTGGGTATGGAAGGAGGCATAGAGTATAAAGAGGCAACATTAGTAAATATTTTGAAGTGATGGGGCTGTTCTGTATCTGGATTGTGGTGGTTACATGACTCTAATTTGTCTAAACTCATAAAATTATATACCAAAAAGAGTGAATAAAATAAAATAAATTAGCTTAAAATTTTTTCACCCGCTAGTTTTAGCATCCATTGATAGTTTTTGCTTGAATTAGATGTTACTGTGATGGTTGCCAAATGGTAATTTTCTAATTCCATTTTTCCTTTTACACTTGTTAGTTGGCACTCTATTGTAAGGTAAAGCATCACTCTTTCCACTTATTTACTTATTTATATCAATATGGATGCATGGATTCTTGTTTTATTTGATGGATCATAATTTGTTACTATAATATGATTATTTTGGTGCTCAAATTGCCCAAAGTTTGACCAGAGGGAGCCCATTCAAGGTGGTTTGTGTCACTAGCATTCTTTGAGCACTTCTTTACTTTCTTGTACTTTCCTTGCCTCCTGCCCTACCATCAGCCATGTCTCCAAGAAGCCCTCATTCCTTTTAATGGAAAATTGCATTTAGAAACCAAGATCTGGGTGCTAGGTATGCTCATAGCCACTGAGATGTTATTGCTTTTACCACTTCTCAGTGTACAGACCTGGGAAATCTATCTGTATCTGTATACTTACCCACACATCTATATCTATTTCTATATCTGTCTGTACATATGTGTTATAAACCATAAGTTCACACCAATGCCTCCAATTTAATTCCAACACCACATAATTTATTCTGTCCTTCCCCCTTACTATATTTGTACCTACTTTTTCTGATTATGAGAAACTTGGCTCTCATTATCTTCAATATATTTATTTATTTACTCAATCCCTTGTATATAACCAATCACCTGACACTGTGGGCTGTCTCCCAAGCCACATTGCTGCTGACTCAAATCTACTGAGAGTTCTTCCCAGCCCAGCCGAGAGTCTCCCCAACCTTGGTCCCAATCATTTATCTATCATTACTTTTGAGGCTTAAACCATACTCTTTTTAAGTAGAGAGATAATGATGAAAAGAATAAAGCTGGATATGAGATTAAGTAACCCTGTGATTAGATACCCAACACCAATTTTAAATAATTAATCAAAGTTAAACTTACCTGGGTGATCTTTTCAAGCTATTTACTTATGAAACTCACTTCCAGTTTTAACTTCTGAAAGTAAAAATAGTATAAGTGAAGTGCAAGATTGAAGTTTGTTTTTTGTGAGGAAGAGTGATGGTCTGTCTTGAGACTGCTCCTATGCCGTGAACAAAAGTTGATTTGTTCAGCAAATATTTATAGGGTACCTGTTGTTTGCCAGATACTATGGTGAGGTAAAGGGGGAGAAAACCTGGTTTTCTCCTCCAAGAGCTTAAATTTAACTTAAAGTGTAAATCTACTCATGTTACTGTTCTTAACTTTAATATTCTTAATTTTTTATAAATTAAAAGTTATGATCAGAACAAGTTGGACTATGAAATTGGCAAAATATTAGTACCAAGAATATTTTTTAATTAGATGTTCACTAATTTCTGCGTGGCCTGTTTCTTTCTAAGGCAAGCCTGAAACAGCATGTGAAAACCCAC